GTCCTAGCAGGACTACATTCATAACCCATGACTCCTGGGAAGAAGCATTCAGGGTCCCATGTGGCCGAGGTCAGCCAAGGACAACCTTGGAATCAGATGGGCCTGGGCTTTAATCACAGACAAAGTATATACTAATGGTACAACCGTGGGAAAGTGGCAAAACCTCCCTGAACCCAGTTCTTCATCCACAAAATGTTAAAACTAATCTGTCCTGCATACGGTCATTGTAAGAAGTGTATGAGATGCGTGAGATGAACCTACAATGAAGTGTTCTTATCGCACACACACACACACGCACACACACACACAGGTTAGGAGGAAACTTTTGGAAGTGATGGATATGTTTATTGCATTGATTGTGGTGATGGTTCCACTGATGTATACTTATTTCTAAACTCATCAGGTGGTATCCATCAAACAAGTACAGCTTTTTGTATGTCAATCATACTGCAATACAGTGGTAAAAAAGAGAAAAAAACCCTACAACAGCACAGCAGCGGAGGGAACTTCCAATAATTGTTAGTGTCATCCTTTTCCTCCACCTTAGTTTCTGTCCTTAAGAAAACTGCTCTGATATAGAGGAAATCCACCCCCTCACTGAATTAAACAATTATTGTCTACCAGGGCCACTGTGTATGGATGGACAGGTTGTTCCCTGATGAAGGGAGAGAGGGGGCTGAATTCCAGCTCATTATCACCCATCAAGCCAGGTGTCCTGGCCTTGCTTTGTAATTTGCACAAAGGTGCTACATGTAAAGTTCGGGTGCTTCTAAAGCTCTGGTGTCTGATTCAGTAATGATGATCTTGGGCTTTGCCCACTTTGTCTGACGGGGAAACAGTAATCAAGAATTATAATACATATAATTAATGCTATTCTAGGGAAGGCGCTATAGGAACATAGAAGAGAGACATTTAAACCTGATGGGGTTGGGGCGGGATCTGTGACATAAAAGATGAGGGGAGAAGGATATTCCAGGCGTAGGAGTGACACTGAGTTATTTATCCATTTATCCATTCAGTAAACATGAATATCTACTAAGAGCCAATACTGAAGATACAGCAGTGAATAAAATGAAATCTCTTTTTCTCGTCATTCTGACATTGTAGTAGGGCCAAGAGGAAATAATGACTGAACCTGAGAAACATTAGGTGGCGAGATGTGCTTTAGGAGAATAATGTGCATGGGGTGGTGGTAAGTGGGGTGAGGGGACCACGTCTGAATGGAGAGTAGGGGAGGCCTCCTCAGGGAGTTGTCACTTGAGGTGAGATCTGAATGGCAATTGTGGAAGCTCAGGGATGAAGGAGGGCTGTTACAAAAGTCTTAAGGGGGGGAATGAACTTTGTATTCTGAGGTGGCAAAGGAGACACTTAGGCAAAGTGTATGGGTGAGAAGAGGAGCAGGAGAAGTAACCAGGCATTGAGCATGGTAAGTTCCGAGACCTGCCAGGAGTTCCATATGGCAGAAGGGAGATCTTTTGACTAGGAGCTGATAGAGGGGGTAAGAGGAAGAACTTCTAACAACACAGTCCCTTCCCTTCTGCCATATGACTGTGTTGTTAGATGATGAGAGGTGAGTTGGGAGAGATAGGCAGGAACTACGTTATGATAAGTCTCAGCTGGATCTGGGAGACATTTAATTTTGCTTAATGCTATGCAAAGAATCTCAAGGAAGCCATGACTAAAGTCATTCAAAGACAACCTTTATGTTTATGCCTTAAAGGAGGTTTGAATACCAAGTCTTATTTGTGTTAATTGTTCTTGAACCATATTTCTCAATATACAGACCTGTTGGGAGCTTAGAACTCTTCTCAGGTGTGCCCACAAATTCAGATTAATGTACAATTTATTTTTGCAACAACGAGGATATTTACTTGATAGTGATATCTGTTAGATAGAATGTTAAACTGAGTAGGTTGTATTTTACAGGAGGAGGAAACATCTTTCTACTACTAAGAGGTGGGAGGCAGCACATAATATCAAGTTGGTAACAAATATGTGATATTTTATTAGAGCATGGGAAAACTTTGCCTCATAGTACATGAAGGAGACACTGCTAGCTGCCTGCCCGACATCCATGATCTCCCCCTTATTCTTATTGACAGAACCTCAGATTTGATTGTCAGTAAGCCCAGCTGAAAATACTTGTCTTCTAGATTCCCTTTTGGCCAGGGATCATTGTGTGACAAAAGTCTGGCCAGTGAGATCTAGGCGGAAGTCCCTAGAGAAGGTATTCTTTCCTGAATAAAAAGGCAAATCCTGACTAGGAAAAAGCCCTTGTGTCCTGTTCCCCTTTCCTCCTGCTATTTGTAGTCATTTGGTGACTCAATGTTGTTGGGAGTCTTGTAATTTCTTTAAATATGTTGTAAAGCCAACATGTTGAGTTAAGGACAACTCTCTTATGAGGTCTATGACTAAATCTTTCTGGCACTTGTACTGATCTGAGGTAACTACAGACATAAAAAATATATTAAGATGATGGGGGGTGGGAGGATGGGTTAGCCTGGTGATGGGTATTAAAGAGGGCACATTCTGCATGGAGCACTGGGTGTTATACACAAACAGTGAATCATGGAACACTACATCAAAAACTAATGATGTAATGTATGGTGGTTAACATAACAAAAATTTTTAAAAATATATTAAGATGATTCTATCAAAAGTACCTCTCAGAGTTCATAATTTGAGGTATCTTCCATGTATGTCATGTTTCTCCCTGTTTTTGAATTAGAGAAATATAGTCAACAATTATTTCTTAAACATTCATTTAACATATACTATCTATAATCACAAAGATAACACTTTCTTATGTGCCATGAGGAACAGAGATGATGAGACCAAGGTTCTTGTTCTTGGGGAGCCAACAATTTTATTAGATGACAGATGTGTTCGTAAATAAATGTAAAACACGTATGCATATCATGTGGTAGGCCATCCCAGAAAAGCCTCTAAGTGGACATGAACATGGATGCCGAAAAAAGGAACATGCCCCCAAATGCAGGCAAAGCACACATTTAAAGCCTGGAACCTGGACATCCAGCTTGTATGGATGGCAATGGGCTCACGCTGTAGCAAAATTATTGCCTTATGTGTAGTATTAGTTATTTCTGGATGATGGAGAGCCTGATGTTATAAAAGGTATGGATTTCTGTGCTCCTCCAACCTGGGGTCATCTCACTCAATGTGGGCCAAGGTCGCTACACTTCTGATATGTAGTCATTTGGAGGGATGATGGAAGGAAATCATGGGAGCTGTGTCCCCCAACCTGCATCCTTATCTGGTTTACATGCTCTGTGTGGCTTACTTGCTGTTTCAGGATTAAACAAAGGAAAAGCCACCCTAAAATATGGCCCCTTGGAGAGCATCTTTGAATGGGCTATGTGACCTGTAGGGATATAATAAATGGCAACAGAGCATTACAAAGAGTGCTAAGAGTTGTGAGGAGGAAGAAACAATTCTGGTTAAGGCTTCCCTAAAGCTTCACATGGCTGAAGAATGGGATGTGTATGTGGAAGCAGTGAGAGATGGAGTTGGAAAGGGAGTCCAGGCCAAAGCTAAGAGGATTGGTGTTGAACATATTGGTGATGGAACAAAGGAATGTTTTTGAGCAACTATTAAATTAGTGAATTAGTAAAATAGGGTATCATAAATAAACCTGGCAGCATTATCATTTATGAAACCTTGGTGAAAGGACTGGAAGATCCCTTTAGGTGCCCAGGTTTGAACTGAGGCCATGTGTGACTGGAGAATAGGACATGAATTTTGAGTTTTATTGTAAAACTGTTTTGGGGGGCACTAAATAAAGCGGGGAACCATGTATGAAGTTGAGTTTTTGAATTTGGACATATGGGAGGATAGTAGTACTGTGAACACACAAAGGGCACAGGAAGAGGGAAACAGTTCTTGTTTTAGCGATATTGTATTGAGGTGCTGGTGGCGCATTCAGGTGGAAATGTGCTACAGGCAGCTGAAAATAAGAGAAGGAGCGCAGGAGAGAGGTGGAGTGGGGGATGAGTCACCTACACTGAGGTGAGTCAGTGAGTTTGGGCTATCATAAGCATAATACATGAACCTAATGACAGGTCCCAAATACAGGTCCCAAATGTAACAAGGAAGACGTATCTAAGAGCGCCTTGGAAAATAAAAAACACTGTGATATTGGTATTTATAGTTTATGTTTGTTTTACCAGCTGTTAAATTCTCAGAAACCAACTCTTATCCCAGAATGACCTCCTAACTGGCAGGTAGAATTGTTAAAGGACTCATTCTTGTGTAGAAATGTGACTCCTGTGACACAGAATCGCCAGATCTTTCTAGTCTGTAGTAGGAGAATTACACGAACTACACGACTAAGTAGATTAAAGCACACTTTTTTTTGGAGGTAGGGGAGCACACAGCCCCTCAGTTATAGATATTGGTGATCGCTAAACTAATTCAACAACTAAAACCTTGGAGGTGTTCCCGAGGAGGGGTATGTCTGTGCCCGGGCGGAGGCTGCACGGAAGCAGGGGAAAGATTAAACAGAAGAACGCAAGCCGCGAGACAAAGATGAGCTAAGCTGATTGCGTAGCTCCCAGTTGGAAGCTGGCCTTCGTCATCAGGCATACTCGCTCCATTGCTCATCGCCCGGGAACAACTCGGTCTATTCCGAGGCGGGGCCGCTGAGAAGCAGGGGAGGGGTCACGAGTAGGGAGGCAAGTGCTCAGAAAAGCCCGTTGGGAGGAGATACGAGGCGAACTTCCCCCCAAGCCTTACTACATTTCCCAGAATTCAGTGCGGCAGTGAAGATTTGCTCCCTGGGCGCCGCTGGCAGATTTGCGACATGGGATTGGTAGTCAGCATCCATCGGCCACCGGAGGTAGGACTCTGGTGGGGAGAGCTATTGGGATTGGCTGGTGAGAGTTCGAGTCCCGCCCACAGATGGTGACGACAGGCGGCGGTCTTGCTACTTAAGGCGTCGTGGCCCAGCCCGCCCCGCCTTAGCTCCCGCGCTAGAGAGAAACATGTATCGTTTCCGATCACAGCTCTTCACGGGGATTTCTGCTGCTGCCACCGCCCACTCGTACCCCCGCCGCTTCTCGCCTCTGTTGTTAGCCGAAGACTCGCCTCTTAGCCGCCCGCCGCACAGACGCACGAGTAAAAAGTGCAGCTCCATCGGCTGATCCTCGCTAAGCTCCGAGTTTAGGCGGCACCGGGCGTCCCACGATGCCGAAGAATAAGAAGCGGAACACTCCCCACCGCGGTGGCAGTGGTGGCAGCGGCTCAGGGGCAGCTGCAGCGACGGCGGCGACAACAGGTAAGGGGGTATCCCAGCCGCCGGCATCCCAATTGCCAGCCGGGCTAGCGAGTCTCTTAACCTCGGGCACTGTGGGATTTGTAGTTCCATCCTTCTGGACATATGTATCGGCGGGGCGCTTTGCTTGGCTGGCGAACTACAATTCCCAGCGTGCCTTGGGGGCAGTACCTCGCGCGATTTGGATCTGGCTGGCGAACCGAACTCTTAGGCACCGGCCTTGGGGGCGGGGAGGGGGGGGCGCGAATAGGTTCTAGGGCCTGAGAGTGGATCGGGGTCCGGGGTGACGGATTGATGGGCGGGAGAGGCACTGTTCTCAGAAGCTGGTGCTTGCTCTTCAGAGCTCTCACCCTGACGGAGGGTGGGGCCGAGATAGGATTTGCGTCTTGCTGTCAGTGGTTGCCTTTGACCCACCGACTCCAGCATGGAGTTCTCGGGAATGCCAAAGGTCCGGCGGGTTTGGCCGGGCTCTTGCGTCACGAGGCCTGGCCCTTGCGCTGTGGGGCCGGCGTGACGCAGAGGCGCCCGTGTGGCATCCCATTCCGTTGCCTTCTTGGGCATCCCGCGTGTCTACCTGGCTGGGCGGAGGCGTAGGAGACTCGGGGCCACTGTCCCAGCCTAGGCTCTATTCCTACTACTAACTGGCACCTGCAGAAATCCCGCGCCCCCGCTTACTCTGCGGCCGGACGGTCCAGGCGACCTCCTTCTCCCCGGGGCAGAAACCGCGTTCTCCTTTGTGCTGCATTCTATAGGTTCTGTGCCCTGAGACAGGGATGGACGAGGTGGTGGGGAACTCAGGTTGCATCGGGCCAAAAGTTGAGATTTGTGTGTGTGTGTGTGTTCTCACTGCAAAGTTGAAGCTTTTCCTGGATGGGTAGGTGTTTCGATGAACTCATGATTCTCTACTACTAACTATATAGGGTTAAGAAAAAAGAACTTCAAAGCGGGAAGTCCTATGAGACATCACTAAACTTAAATCGAGTATTAAGTTAAACTGGGTGAAATCATCTCATTTAGTAATTTTTTGGTCGAGATTTTGAAGTTAAACATTGGAATTCTCAGACTTTATCCCATCGAAACTACTACTAGCCATTATGTATTTGTCAACACAATTGCTAATCCGATCCTCGGAATGATACGCCTTTGTTAGTGAGTAGGCCGGCTTTCTTCTTAAAGATAATTGGAAACTGGCATTTAAAACGCTTTCCTGTGGGATTTATAGCAGCATGAAAACTTGTGTTCCTGTATTAAACATTTAATAATTGACAATAGGAATGAATTATTATAGTTGCAGGTTTTTTTCCTTTTCTTTATATCGCTCTTTATTTTGATTGTATGCCCTCGATATTCATGAAATTCATTCTTGATCAAGATTAAAATACAAAATTAGTTTGTTGTAGCATCTGATTGCTCTGTGTGAATAGGGGATACCTCTATTCTTCTCTGTATTTCAGCTTTTCCTCCTCTGAAGTCCATTTGAATTGTCTGGGAGGTCCTTATTCATTTTATTCTCTTAAGTTTTACCCTTTGTTGGAACAAATGATGGTGAAGCAGCAAGCCAAAGTCTTTTTAAAAGTTGTAACGATGTTACTAATGGCTTCCTCGAATCACAAACAAATCTTTATTCCCTCAGAGGCTCTCAAGTTTCCTTTCTTCCTGGTGCTGACCGAATAACCTCAGGTGGTACTGGGGGATTGCCTTTCAAATTTTACCTCGAGGCTCTTTCCTCATCTCTCATCAGCCTTATTGCTGTTGCTTTTTTTTTTTTTTTCCCGGTAGAAAAGGTAAATTTAAACAGTGAATTTTAGCTTATTTAAACAAATGGAAAAGAATTCTTCGATGAGTTTATAAAACTGTACAGGCTTTGAATATCTTTGGAAATTTACACTAGTACTTGTTATCTGTGCTTACCTCCGGTAAGTGGGGTATGCAGTGGGATTTACTTTTTTAAGACCTTAATTTGGTTCCATGTGAATGTATTATTTTTTAAATGAATAAATAATAACTCAGTAGAAGAGACAAAGTTGTCGCAAATTTGTACTTACAAGCCATTTACTTTATTGGTATTTTTAAATGACATCTATAAGAGATGGGATTCAAATGAGATCTTAACATGTACAATCAAAAGATAACCAACTTTCCTATCACTTTGATTTTCCATTTAAATTCTCTTTTAAGTTAGTGGAAGGTTCTAGAAAGCTGATAAAATTGACAAGTATGCATACTTTTCATTGCACTTAAGGAGAGCTTTTTTTTATGAAAGAACAGAACCTTGTTAGTAAGTAAACCCCCTAAAATATAAGGACTTTATGTGTCTAGAGTGTCATCTAACTAATATTACTTGGGATCACATGGTGGGTGAATTTGATCTAGATATCAGATATTCATACAGGGTTCTTTTTCTTGATTTGTTGTTTTTGTTTGTTTGTTTAACTTCTCTTTCCTGTAGTCTTGGAAACTGATTGAAACTTAGAGAAAGCTGAGTAAGAGCTGTATAGGAATACTCTTCTTGGCAGTTTAGAAGTAGACTGAATATGAAAAGTAAAAAATATGAATTGCTTGTGAACATGTATTAATAGAAATCAGATGACTCTCGACTATTCCCATGACTTCAGATCACGAAGACAATGAAGATAGATCCAGAAATAGAATATGATGTCATAGATCTTGGTTTATTTGTTTGTTTACTCCTGCCATAAGCACTCTGATTAATATGTTATGGTATCCTGGCTTCAAAGCTTATTGTTTATGCTTTTCCTACCTTGATTGGCGAAGTTATTCCTTTGAGATAGCAAGCAAATTTGAAGGCTGCTTGCCACCTTGTGTTGATTTAAAAATCAGCCAAATTCTATTTTGATTAAAAAAAAACTATAAAAATATCCCCAAAAAACTGAACTTAGCAAGTTTCAACATAGAAGATTAAAAACAAAACAAAACAAAAACTCTTCTTAAAGTAGTAAGTGCCATGAATTTCTTGAACATAGGCACCTGGTGATGTTTGGTGCAATCTTTGATTTTACTGATAAGGGAACTTGGGCTCAAAGGTGAATCAGGTGACTCAAAGTCACTTTTGGGGCAGATTTTGGGAATGACTTTAACTCATTGCTCAATGTAATTCGTGACTAGCATACTTTTATTATTAAATCCCTGCAAAACAAAACATAACTATGGATTTATTTTTTTAAGTTAATTTGAGGAAAGATTCTAGTTTTAAAAAAAATTTTTTTATTTTGGGGCGCTTGGGTGTCTTGGTGGAGCATACAATTCTTGATCTTGGGGTTGTGAGTTAAGCTCCAAGTTGAGTGTAGAGATTACTAAAAAAATAAAATCTTAAAAAGAAAAAGATTTTATTCAGTAACAGCCCTGATGTTTTTAAAACTGTTGGATGTGTTAACCTTTCTTTTAAAGGTGAATCATCTAACAGACTTTTATACCATATCAAAAGCCACAATTTCTATTTTACCCCCCCTTTTAAGTAAAGATTTTATTGGTTTGAGAGTGTGCATGTGCATGCGTGCACGTGCAGGGGAAGGGGCAGAAGGAGAGAGAATCTCAAGCATATTGCACTGAGCCCAGAACTCAGAGCCCAGAGCCCAACATGGGGCTTGATCCCATGACCCTGAGATCATGACCTGAGCTGAAATCAAGAGTTGTATGCTTAATTGACTGAGCCACCCAGGCACCCCCTTTCCCCCCCATAATTCAAGTTATCTTTAAAACTACTATCTCTTAATGTCTTAATTCTTCACATATGGTGTATAACTTAAAAATTAACTCATTTACCATGTTTATGTTTATTAAGCTCAGTCATTCTCCTTGAAAAATACGCTTTTCTCATTCTTATGGCCTATTATTTCATACTCTTTCTGGATCTATTTTCATTGTCTTCATGATTGGAAGTCATGTTTTGGAAGTACTTTCTTCAACCACAATACCAGTTTTTGATATATTTCTGAAGTTGATGTATATTGTAAACAGTTGGTGGTGTGAAAAACAGGTGAGTTGACTTATTTTAGAATATTTTAGTATGTTCTTTTGTAGCGTAATCATCCCTTTTAAATAAGGTTGGGTTTTTATTACTGGATTTCTCCTAAATAAGTTTAAAAATTCCCAAGTTAAATTTTTGAGCATGTGGCAACATAGTCATCTACTTCCATCCTCTTTTACCTAATAGGTGGCCAGCATCGAAATGTTCAACCTTTTAGTGATGAGGATGCATCAATTGAAACAATGAGCCATTGCAGTGGTTACAGCGATCCTTCCAGTTTTGCTGAAGATGGTATGAGTTTTAAATTTAAATTTGCAACTTTAGATAAAAGGGTGTTTTAGGTAGAAGAATTCTTATAGCTAAGGTACACTATCACTGTTTCCTATCTGCTTTTTTTGTACTTAAATTACAATGGTTAGTTTATATTATTCCTTAGGACCGGAAGTCCTTGATGAGGAAGGAACTCAAGAAGACTTAGAGTACAAATTGAAGGGATTCATTGATTTGACCCTGGATAAGAGGTAGGAGATACTGGAAACTTTGTTCTTCTGTGTGATTTTGATCAGTCACTTATGTGTATTATATACAGTTCTCTGATTTAACAGTATGTTTTTCTAAAGCCTGATTTGTTTCTTTGGATCTTTTTTATTTTTATTTTTTTTTTATTTTTATAGATTTTATTTGTTTATTTGAGAGAGAATGAGAGAGAACACATGAGAGGGGATAGGGTCAGAGGGCAAAGCAGACTCCCTGCCGAGCAGGGAGCCCGATGCGGGACTCGATCCAGGGACTCCAGGATCATGACCTGAGCCGAAGGCAGTCGCTTAACCAACTGAGCCACCCAGGAGCCCTACTTTGGATCTTTTAATGTTTCTTGTTCCTTTGGACTTTTAACATAGACAGGAACATGCCACTAGAATTTAAATGGACTCAGATTAGTCATTATTCTAGCATAATAGCATATAACTGTATTTGATTACACCTGAAATGGATTTGTTGGATTAAAAGTTAATCTTCAGCTGGAAAGAACAGCTAAACTTTGCTTTAAGCCTCTTGTCCACTTTTTATTGCAGATGTGAAAAATAGCAAAGCTAAATTTTATTTCACAGTAGTTCTAGACCTGACTTACAACAAACAGAAGTAAAAAGCCCCGAAGATGCAAACATGAAGTCTAGACTTTCGTAGTGTCAAAAAAATGTGAGTTTGCTTAAATACGTAATACAGGAGAACATGTCTTCTGTATAATAAGGTGAATTGTGGATAAAAATTAAATTACTGAAAAATAGTTAGAGCTTGATGACAATTACATAGAAAGAAAGAATCTACAAATCTATAAAAAGAAATTGAGAGGGAAATAGTGTAGTTTTTATAAGTCATTGACCTATGGTACCCTCCAAATTGATCTTCTGATTTTTTTTTTTTTAAATAGTGCGAAGACAAGACAGGCAGCTCTTGAAAGTATTAAAAATGCACTGGCTTCAAAAATGCTTTATGAATTTATTCTGGAAAGAAGAATGACTTTGACTGACAGCATTGAACGCTGCCTGAAAAAAGGTAATGTCCTTATTTTTGAGTCAGGCATAGAATTAAAAGGGAATTTGCCACCTTTTTTGGAGTAATATTTATTAATGGAAATGGAAGACTGGCTCAGTCTTTTAACTTTACAATTGTCAAGGAATACACCATGCTTATTCAAATTCAGAATGAGACTTGTTAGAAGCTTTGTTTTTATTTATGTAATAAACAGCTTGAAACTAGGATTGTGGTGGATTGTCATCCTTGTTTATATTGGAAGAGGTGATTGCCATTCTCATGCATAAGAAAGTCTTGAAAGCTTGTGTCAGATTTTAACAAAAGCTATTATTAAAAAAGCCACCCTACTTCATTTTCCTGAAATTTAAAAAAGTATTATAATCACATAGCTCATTTTCCCTTGCAATTACTTAAAACCTCAGTCATACCTGTGGATGACATCATTTTCAGGATATCCCTTGGAATATTTGAATTCTAGAACTTCGTAATAGAGATTCTGGAAGTCATATTATAATCATAGAACTTTTAAGAATGAGGAGAGACCTTGAAGATTAAGTCTAGTATCACCAGACTTCAGTTTTAGGAACCACCAAAGTTAAAAAGATCTGGGGCTGCCAGCTTAATTATTTTGCCAAGGAAGAACATTGTGAGAATAGTGATCTTCTATTGTTAGGTCTTTATTAACAAATTATTTCTAGCACCAGAAATGTGGGAAGCACACATGCTCTTTTAAATTGAATGAGCTTATTACCTTTATGTCCTTGTTTTTCTCATTTTACCTCAGGTGAAAGCTTTGTCATAGAAGGGGTATTTGGAAACCTTTCATCCATTCCATCTCTCTCATTGTACAGAATACAGGCCTAGGAAACGTGCGATTGGTCTAAGGTTATATAACTTCTTAGTGGTATAATTGATAGCACAGCCAACTGTTTTGAAACTATTTCCTGTAATGGTCGTTGGATTAGATGACCTTTAAAAATTCCATTCCAATCTGCTTATTTTATAGATTTTTAATTTGTTGGGTAATAATTGGGTGTCTGCAGTTTTTGTATGGTTTTAAAGGATCCTTTATTTATTTATTTTTAAAGATTTTATTTGAAAGAGAGAGAGAGCATGCACGTGTAAGCGGGGTGGGGAGGGACAAGTAGACTCCACTCTGAGCGTGGAGCTGGACACAGGGCTGGATCTCATGACCCCGAGATCATGACTGAGCCGCAATCAAGGGTCAGATGCTTAACCAGCAGAGCCACTCAGGTGCCCCAGGAATCCTTTATTTTTAATCCCTTATTTATTGTAAAAAAAGATTGGGGGAGGGGAAACCTTGAAGGTTTAGTTTACTTCATGGGCTGCATACATCTGAAATGCTTGAGAGACGAATTCAAAGGCTACCTGAGCACTGTTCTATGAGTACATGAAAGATCTGGAAGGTCAGGTCAGCTTGAAACATGTTATTTTGCTGACTTGTTAATAGTGCTCCCTTAAGACAGATGTTAATCTCCATTTCACTGCTGAGGAAATATGTTTTGAGAATAAGAGTTGTAAGTCATTTGGCTAATAAGTGGTGAATCTAGGATTTGAGTCAGGTTGGTTTCCAGAGTTTGAGCTCACTCGGTTTGCAGCTCATGTCAAAGCTTAGAAAGTATTATGGGGTTTTGTAAACGGTAGATAATATTTTGGAATTGTACAAATTTGGGAAATTGCTGTCTTAATAAATTAGTCTTCTCAAAACAATTTTTCATGGTTTTACCTTTGCTGTTTTCATAGGTAAGAGTGATGAGCAGCGTGCGGCTGCAGCATTAGCTTCAGTTCTTTGTATTCAGTTGGGCCCTGGAATTGAAAGTGAAGAGGTTTTAAAAACTCTTGGACCAATCCTAAAGAAAATAATTTGTGATGGAACAGCTAGTATCCAGGCTAGGCAAACTGTAAGTAAATGATTTTTTAATTTATAAATCTGTCTAGGCATGATACCCAGATACTCTGATGAATGATCTAGGAAGGTTACATTTCTAAAATAGTAGATTTTTAACGTTTTCTTTGCATTTGTCTTTTAGTTTGAGTGAGCAGACTTAATAGGACAATTGTTTTCTTAAATTTTCTGAGATACCATAGAACATCCCAGCTAGAGCAAATCTTTATGCTATCTTGAGTTATTTAGGATGATTGAAGAATAATTTTGGTTGGAACTTAAATGATCTAGACAGTGTTTATTGGGTGGTTATTTTTTATTCAAAGAAACGTAATAGGTATTTTTAAAAAACTTTGGCTGCTGTGGCCTACAAGTCCTTGTGAAAAAACTGAATGCTTTATTTCCATGGGTGGATTTGAGTAGATGTGGGAAACTGTAACTTGTGAGATACTCATCTGGTCATGTCATGAGTTTTGAAAAACCTTTCATTCTCTAATTGTTTGATATTTATCACTCATCACAGTTGACTTTAGATTGTGGGGGGTTTTTTTGTTTGTTCTTTTTGGTGTGCTTAAGTGATTATCACAAACATCTTTCTGGGTTTGGAAAGTGGATTTGAATCTTAATGGATCTTAAGAATCTTATTGGATCTTAAGAATTTAATCTTAGTAGACTTGAGTCTTACGCTGTTTTCTTAACAAGAAACCAGTTCAAGTTTGAAACTTTTTAATACTTTTAATACTGACTTTTCACATTAGCTTTCTCTTTAGTATTACTTAAAGTAGATGACATTGATCTTTGTATCAGATAAACCCTGAAATCTTAGTGGTTTAATAAAAGTTTATTTCGTGCTCATACCACTGTGTAAGTTGGCAGAGTCCCTGGGTGTCCATCCTGCAGCTCTGTCCTACCTTTAGGTCCTCCATATGGCAGCTATGGTGGCTAGATGGGGAAAGAAAGAAGACAGATGCTTAGGCCAGAACACATCACTTTAGTGACCGGTTCCTTGGTTTACCAACTATATGGAGGCTGGAATAGTTAAGCTGTTTCCCCAGAGGCAAAGAAATAGAATTTTGGTGACTTCATAGGAATCTCTTGCCCTCTAGCAGTTCGTAATCCCAAAATAGCTAATTAAGCTTTTGCTGTTTACATTTTTATCCCCTTTTTTTGGGTTTTCATGCAACTTTTAAATCATGAAGGACTATAGAGGTATTTTTGAAATGTTTGACAGAAAACACTGTTGGGTGGATACTGGTAGTGAGCCCTTAATTTTCGTTGCGTGTGGGTGTGTTGTCATTTTTTTTAATATGTTTGATGCTTGCTGTGAATTAAAAAAAAGTACTTGACAGTCTCATATTAGCAGAAGGAATGTAGGCAGTTCTAATTGTGAAGCTACCTTTTTTGTCTTAGAAGCCTCAAAAGGAGAGCTGTGGCTTTGCCTCTGCTGCTTGTTTAGGACGAGCGATTATAGATCGAAGTTTCCTTTATCGAGAATAATGCCTAGACTACTTTTTAATTTTAGCAGTGTCCAGTTTTTACTAGGACGAAATAATGAAAATAAAATAGTGACACTGAACATAGGAATGCCACAAATGTCCTCAGGATACCGGGAAGTTGGGTGTGTGAATGATGACTTAAAGACTTCACGCTTTAGTGGCACTTGGAACAAGATGAGAGGATTTTAGTGAAAACATGGAGAAAAGAGAAATGGAGAGAATAAAAAAAATCTCACAAATTAGAAATTGTTTTCATAGGATTTATTTGTTTAGAGCAGTGTTCTGAAAACTAATGGCTCCCGTTTATGTTGCAAGCAGATTGTATATAAATTTTGTATTCTGAGCTCTGTTTTCTTAGGTAACTTATACCGTGGTAATCCTGTAGTGTCATCACTTGTTTCAAAGCCTCTTTTTTCCCCTAACAAAAGGCAGTTATAGGATTCCTGACCAGTTTTCAGCATATGTGGAAAAAAGTGAAATCCGAATTAATGAGACCCTTCTTTAGGTGGCAAGTTTGAGGACAGTTATTTAAATTTTAGATTTCTGCTCCTGGTGTGCTTATTTCTTGGCAACTGATTGCTTTTAGAAGTTTTCATAGTAGAGTCTTCCGTGAAAAGAGATGAATATAAATGGTTTTAAATGCTTAAAAGCCTAAAACAAACTTAATGTGTTTTAAAGGTTTTTAATAGAGTAGGCTTCTTTATCTCCAACGTGCAGACTTCATCTCAGTCTTTGAGTTGGAGTTGGAAGTTTAAAAAGGATCTGCTGGATTAAAGAAGGAAGACCTGGGAGAAGTTGAGTAACTTTCCTAAAGTTGTATTGTCAGTTTGGTAGCAGAGATTGGGCTGAAACTCACTTCCCTTAATTCTTGATCCTATATTCTTTCTCTCTTTGTATTCTTTTTTTTTTAAGATTTTTATTTATTTGGGAGCGAGAGAGAGAGCATGAGTGGGGAGGGGGGCTGTACAGATGGAGAGGCAGAAGCAGACTCTCTATTTCAGGACCCTGGCAGACACTTAACCCATTGAGCCACCCAGGCACCCCTCTCTCTTTTTATTCTATGCTTGGGACCAATGTAGTCATGTAGTTGAGAAAAATTTCACATTGAATTATAAAAGCAGGAAGATATGGAAATAATAAGAAAATTATAAACATTAATGTCTGTATTTTTTTTTCTTTTTTTTTTAGTGTGCAACTTGCTTTGGTGTTTGCTGTTTTATTGCTACAGATGACATTACTGTAAGTAGAAAACCCTTGACTCCACTTATTTGCACATTTCAAATGTGGTTTGAAGGTGGTTACCTTATTTCATGTTCTTATGCATTAGGAGCTGTATTCAACTCTGGAATGTTTGGAAAGTATCTTCACCAAGTCCTATCTCAAAGAGAAAGACACTAATGTTATATGCAGCACCCCTAATACAGTGCTTCATATCAGCTCTCTTCTTGCATGGACATTATTACTGACCATATGCCCAATCAATGAAGTGAAGAAAAAGCTTGAGATGTATGTACTCTTAGCTTCATATTTTATAAAAACAACATTTATTGACATAACTGATTGTGTTCACACAGTAATGACTGTTTTTTAGGCATTTCCATAAACTTCCAAGCCTCCTCTCTTCTGATGATGTCAACATGAGAATAGCTGCTGGTGAATCTTTGGCACTTATGTTTGAATTGGCCAGAGGGATGGAGAGTGTAAGTATCTGATGAATAGAGGAAAAAGATTGTGTCGCAAGGACCATTATTCTGCCATTCTCTTCATAATTAAGAATTGGATGATAACTTTGGAGTATGGCTACCTTGAGAATAAAGTGACTGATTGCCCTGCTTCTTGGCAGTGGTGATACAAAAATTTTAAGAGCGTAAACGGGTAGGGGTTGATAGAGCAACATTTGAGTGTAGTTTATTACACTTAACTCTTGCTGTCTGTAGAACTCAAGTTTAGGGACACTGTTACTCATGGAGAGAGTTGTCTACTACAGTCTGTGTGGATCTGCTTGGATTTTTCAGACACAGGGCACATTAAGGTGACTTAGTCATGGATGCTTTATAATAAATGTCAGACAAATGGATGAAATACTGAGTCGAGATAGGTTTGAGATCAGATGAGTTTAGTCACGGTTGGTTAACTTCTCTAAGCCAAAGCTGAAAGCAAACATGGCCCTTTAGACTGGATTATGTGCTTTGCAGTTCCCCACCCACTGTCCATGGATGTTTATTACCTCATTTTGGCTCTCAAAGGTATTTGAGTTTGTGATAGGTGACCAACGTTACCAGTTTACCTGGTTCTGTTGCAGGGTTAGCACTGAAAATTCTGTCTTCCAGGAAACCTTTCATCTCAGGCTAACTGGGACATTTGGTCACCCTGGTTTGTATCCTCTGTTGTGAACCTTGGCTTACTTACTAGCTGCTTTTTAATGTAAGAACAAAGACTATATTTCTGGAATGAAACCTTTTCTGGAATTAAATATGTTATTTAACAGTGAATAATTCCATTCTAGTCCTGTGTTTAAAAATATCTGGGAAGTGTCTTTTTTAGGCTTCCCCCAGCCTCTCCCCTTTTCTTTGAAGGATAGCAGGGTAGGAATGGAAAGAAGTTATTAATACTTTCAGTAGTGAATGAATCTACTTACATGAGAAATTGACTCAAGTTTAGCAATCAACTTAATTTTATTGAACTAGTTAATGGCTCCTTAACCTCAAGGCACAGAAGCCAGATGTCCCAGTTTTTTAATCTTCTGTTCTTCGGTGGGCGAGAAATGGTAATTTCTTTTCTTTTTCCTCTGAAGTGTATCTTAAAAGTAAAGTAATAATACAGTTTAAATTATACATGTTGAATTTTTAAAAAAATTTGTAAATATATATTTATTGTTGCTCACATAGCTTATGTTCTCTGCATTTAATAAATCATATGAGATAGCTAGGAGAACTCAGATCAGATTAAACATGTTTGGATAAGTCCTTGTTTAAGGACAAAAATGACCTGGGTTACAAAACAGAGCCTAGTGTTTTGTTTGCTATTTTTGTTAAGTAAGCTTTTTGAAAGGAGCGAGCGTGTGGTTGCTGTGGGGGTAGTTACAGGGTGTTCAAAAAATTAAACCGTGTGTTGATGAATACATAGGCTGATTTAAATTAGGGTTTTGGTAGCAAATTCATTGCATTGAAATATACAGAGCTTTTTGCTAAGATGATTATAAGCTGACATGAAGAATTAGGAATTATTTGTGAGAGCTCTCTGTTTGCTCTATAACCAAACAGGTAAGAGTGCACTCCGTGCCATACTCCCAGGTTCATATCTCTTTTCCACCCTTACTAGTTGGATGATGTTGGGCAACTTCTCTATGCCTCAGTATCAGTATCTTTAAAATGGAGAATAAAATAGTAACTACCTTATAGGGTTGTTGAGAACATAGATACAGTGTAAGTGGTGGTTATTACCGTAACTGTTCATTAAAGTGAGGATTAACTCCCCCTTCTGGCAGTGATCTTTTAGTAGTAGCCTTTTAGGGGCTCTCTGGCATAACCTATAGTAAGACAAAGACTATTTACTGGGCAGAGTTAAAGATCTTGGGAGCCACATAATGTGCCGACTCAGGAAAATATACTGAAATATAGTATAGACAGACCTTCCCCAGTTCTTCCTTTCTTATCCCCCACCTAACCTGATGTGGGAAGTGCTGCAAGAAAGAAACAGACAGACAGACAGACACACACCTTTGTGTGATAATGATTATGCTGTTTTCTTTATATTATTGATAGGAGTTAAAGTGTTTATTTGCACCTCCAAGAGCCCATTTGTCCCTGGGCATATAGTTTTACTGTAGAGTTATCCTGAACTCCAGTAAATTGGCTTTTGGAAGCTAGTTATGGACTGTTTTTTATGTTTTACATTTTCTTTCTTTTTAATGCCCAAACATGTTAGGGAGACATTTCCGTACAATATTTAATATTTATTTTTCCAAGTTAGTACTATATCGAACTCAATGATTCAGACTGTAAACTAGATTGAGTTTTACTGATTGCAGAGGTCAATTACAGCGGGATTTCTCAACCTCTGCACTGTTGATATATTACTGGGCTGGATAATTTTTTGTTGGAGGGGGGTCAAATCAAAGTAATAGCAAATAGTAATACATTTCGTGGCTTTTCTTCAAAAGGGATTAAAATATCTTCTTAGCTTGAGTAATTAATGACTCAAGCTGATTTAAATGCTTTATTGCTTATTTGAAATATGGCCAGTATATTAGAAATTAGGTGCTTTAGGCATTACTGATAGCTTGTACTTTTGGAATAAGAATATTTGGAATTCTGGGGTTGTGTGCTTTGGGGACTGAAGAGCCAAAGAATAGAAGCTGTGTTGGTATTTGTGGTATCTCAGTTTCACTGAACTTCTTTGAAATCCCAGGAATGTCTTGAAACAGTAGAAGCACAATAAGTATTTGTTGAATGTATCTGGATATACTTGGAAGGGGAATGTTAACTTTTTAGTGGTAGTATATCATCTTATAGTCAGCATTTCTGGATTAAACTTTTGCATGATGTTATAAATGCATTAATGTGTGCCTGTGACCAAGATCTTTAAAGAGTTCAGAGATTTGTGGTGCTGTTTTTACCCCTGCTGGGTATTTTCCAGAGTGGAGTGTTCTTTGTTAGCACTAGGAAAGATTGAGGGTGGGGGAACCCAATAACGAACTAAACAAAATTGTTTTTCCTGACCAGGACTTTTTTTACGAAGACATGGAATCTTTGACGCGGATGCTTAGGGCCTTGGCTACAGATGGAAACAAGCACCGTGCCAAAGTGGACAAGAGAAAGCAGCGATCGGTGTTCAGAGACATCCTGAGGGCAGTGGAGGTAGGTCTCTTAATGCTATAATGGCTACTCCTTTGTTTTTTGTTTTTTTTTTTAAAGGTTTTTTGTTTTTTTTTTTAAGATTTTATTTATTTATTTGAGAGAGAGAGAATGAGAGACAGAGAGCACGAGACGGAAGAGGGTCAGAGGGAGAAGCAGACCCCCCGCTGAGCAGGGAGCCCGATGTGGGACTCGATCCAGGGACTCCAGGATCACGACCTGAGCCGAAGGCAGTCGCTTAACCAACTGAGCCACCCAGGCGCCCCTCCTTTGTTTTTTTAAAGTAGACTGCATGCGCCCACCGTGGTGCTTGCACTCATGACCCCAAGATCAAGGGTTGTATGCTCCACTGACTGAGCCAGCCAGGCACCTGCTACTCATTTTGAAATGAGATTATTTTAGGCTACACTGGACGATTGGGTCTTTTTTTTTTTTTTATTGAACTTCACTTTTGATCAAAACAGTTTCCTCCTTTTAAGCCTGGTTTTTAACAATATACATAAAGACGACTTTTTTTTTTTTAAACAAAGGAAAATTTAATTCTGATGCAAAAAGGTACTTTTTTTTTTAGGTTAAAAAATACGACAATTTCGGGGCCCCTGGGTGGCTCAGTCATTAAGCGTCTGCCTTCGGCTCAGGTCATGATCCCAGGGTCCTGGGATCGAGCCCCGCATCGGGCCCACTGCTCGACTGGGAGCCTGCTCCTTCCTTTCCCACTCCCCCTGCTTGTGTTCCCTCTCTCGCTGTGTCTCTCTCTGTCAGATAAATAAATAAAATCTTTAAAAATAAAAATACGACAATTTCATAGTTACAAAAGCGTATTTCACTTTGTTGTACTTGCCATCATTTAAGCAGTGGTGCTTAGCACATAGGTATTTAGTACAGTGTTTTTTCTGAGTGGAGATTATTGCCTACCCCTCAGTACTTTAAACAAAGACCTTTATATTCTCTCTGGGAAGCCTACGTGCTAAAAACTGAAATAACAAAACCCAGCCTTTAAATAAGGGTTTAAAATCATCTGATGCCTGAGTACGTTCTACAGTCTTCTAACCTGTTTCAATCTACCTGGCAAATAAATTGATTTAGAAACTTTCAGGGGGGACGCCTGCATGGCTCAGTTGGTTAAGCGACTGCCTTCAGCTCAGGTCGTGGTCCCAGGGTCCTGGGATCGAGTCCCACGTCGGGCTCTCTGCTCTTCGGGAAGCCTGCTTCTCCCTGTACCCCTCCGCCTGCTTGTGTTCCCTCTCTCGCTGTGTCTCTCTCTGTCATATAAATAAAATATTAAAAAAAAAAAAAGAAACTTTCAGGGATTTGAATAGAATGCACAGTTAAAAGGAACTGCAGGATATGGACAGTTTTACTGTGGAGAATACCTAAGTCTTTTTTTTTTTTTGCCAGGTAAGAAGTATTTCTTGAATATAAAGAATAAATATCTCAGGTTCTTGCTATATGATAGGGCAGTTCATTTAGGAATAAGTATGTCACCAGAGTCATCAACCTGACATGTATATGAAAATTTAGAGTGGGAATTAAAAAAAATAAAGATGCTAAGACCCCATTCAGGTCCAGTTTTGAAATGTTCCAGTGATTCTCATACACAGCCTGCTTAAGAACTACTTTCTTCATTTTAATCTAAGTAAAACCTAGGGTATAAGTATTGAGATCTTCTAGGATCTGAACATTTTGGTTAATGCTAACTCTAATTGCATTATAATAATATTTTATATTTACTCTGGTTTTTATAATCTAAAAGACAAAATAAAATCCCCAAACTTGAGCAGACATCTCTGTTAACAATTGATCCTTTTGATCTTAAAATTTTAGTTTGGTGGTATCCCCAGATTAAGCCATTTTCTTGAATAACTACAAACTGCTCTGGGGCACCTGGGTGGCTCAGATGGTTAAGTGTCTGCCTTCGGTTCAGGTCGTGATCCCAGGGTGCTGGGATCGAGTCCCGCATGGGGATCCCTGCTCAGCAGGGAGTCTGCTTCTCCCTCTGCCCCTCTCCCTGCTCGTGCTCGCTCTCTCTCTCAAATAAATAAGTAAAATCTTTACAAACTACTCCTCTATTTGGATAATGTTGCCTCCAAAGATAAGATAACAGCATGTTGTGGGTTTTCTGGTTTAGACCTAACATCACATTTTCTGTCTGGATGCATTCTCTCTGGATAATAGATTTTAAGAGTCAAAAGGATCTGAGCAGACCCTATTGACAAATCCATCAGTGTAAGCCAGCCACAGCACACAGTATTGATTCTCCTGAGAAAGACACAAGCCAAATCTCAGTGTACACCAGCCTTAACAGGTCTCTCGTGTGCCCATCGCTCTTGCCCAGCACTACAAAAAGTAAAAGCCCTTTCTTTGCCTCACAGTTCTGACCTGTGGTGTTCTCCCTCCCAGGCCTTAAACACCCTCTCCTCTCCGTCTCAGGATTTCTGTTCCTCCCCTGCCCTTTGACTGGCTTTCCTGTGCTCCAGCTCTGCTTCAATGTACCTGCCAGAGAAAGGGCTGGCCCTACAGCCTCGCTAGGTGTTTGTTTCTTTGCTTTGACTGGAACCCAGTTTTCTCTGAAGGATGCTGCTTCCTTGATGGATGGAGGTTATTAAACTGCTACAGAGGAGAATTCTCCATTTTAGATGTAGTTGTTGCTGCCTGTCATTTCTTTTCACCAAGGAATCATTCTTTAAGACCATGTATTTCTTAAATCAGCAAGCATTTAATATGTTGGGTGCCTTGACATACAGTTTTCTTATTTCAGTTCCTTTATAACACTTAAGCAACAGAATTATCTTTTTAAGGAAAAACAGAGACTAAAGGCATAGTTAAAGAGCAGTAAGTAGCAAAGCTGGAATGTGAACCCACTGTACTGTGCTGTCTTTCATCAGGGCCAAGTGCTGCAGACGGGCAAGTGAGAGAGAGTCAGAGTGTCCATTGGATTTTTCGGTTAGGCCATTGGTGGATGACCTTTACAGGTGCCGCTTCAGTAGAGGGATGGCAGAAACGCTTGACTGGGTTGGATTGAAAAGTGGATGGGAAGTGAAGAAGTGGAGATGGTGTGTCTTAACTGTTCTTTTTTAAAACGTGGCTATAATTGGAAGGGGAAGAGAGTTGACCACTGGACTGGGGGAGGGTGTGTTATTGTGTCTTGCTTAAGATGCTGGATGGGGTTTATGGGAGAAGGAACCTGTGGAGAAGGGAGCATTTGAAAATATAAATGAAAGATCGAGAGTATGATGTAAACGGTATGATTTGCCTTGAACTGGAGAGATTTAGGAGAGGAGTTGGTGAGGATGCAGTTGAGTTTAGAGGGAGTTCCTTCCTGGTGTCTCAGTATTTTTTGAAATAAGGAAGGCTGAAATAATAGAACCCTGGTGGGTTTTTTTGAGCTATTGTAACAGACCAGGCACTCTGTGTGCTTCACAGACTTTGTCTTACACTTGTAATAACTGTGGTAGAGGGATGGAAAGCCCCACTTGACGAGCGGAGGAACAGACCCAGAGGGGTTAAATTACTTGCTAAAATGACAAGCCAATGAGTGACGCACTTGGGTAAGTCTAGAGTTCACGTTATTTTCTTCCATGTTAGATGCTGTGTCTGCTGAGAAAGAAGGGGGCTGGTAGTGGGGAAGATGATTGGAGTGATCAGGTTCCGTCTCCTTTCTCCTGTCCCTGGTGATCTCTTTCTGTTCTCTTCCTGTTACTCTTTCATAGTCATGATTCATCAAACAATGGAGTGGCCAGTGTTTTTCATCCCAAGTTCTGCCCCCTATTCTGGGTGACTCCTCTGTGCATTTGGAAAACCCTATCCTGTATTTGTTCCAGTGATCTTTACTTCCATTTATTTCCATTCACTTGATTCTCTCTCAGGGTTATACTTTAGAAATTGTCTTCTGGCAAAATTGTTCCATCTTTGAAGTCTTAAAGTCAGGTATTCCCTCTCATTTTTTTTTTTAAGTTCCCCTAAGCAGGGAGCCATGTGGGGCTCGATCCCATGACCCCAGGATCATGACCTGAGCTGAAGACAGACGCTTAACCGACTGAGCCACCCAGTCGCACCCGCTCTCATTTTCTTAATAAGCCTGTTCTTAGACCCTTGGAGCCCTGCAGTTGCTGGTCCTCTACTTTTTGGTTGGTCTGTTGACCCCATTTATGTTCCCTCGACCCTGCTTCCCCTCAGCTCCACCACTGGCATCTTATCATTGACACCTCTTCCTCCTCCCTCCCCACCTCACCCCCCATTTGTAGACCGGTACAGAAAATGGTTTTTTTTCTGCAGGTTTCTTGTGTGCTACTGAAATTTAAAGACATTCACAACAATGTGGTTTGGCCAGTAATATTTATCCGAACTCAGTTGTGCCAAGTCTGTGACAACTAGACAAGCTCTACACCCTTATTAGGATAGTACTTTCTAGTCTATTCACATCTCAGGGATGGAAATACCAGTTTAAACTGTTTTCTTACCTCAGCACGTAAATGTGTCTGTTTAGAAATTGTATTTTTGTAGGATCTCTTTAAGTCATCTTAATTCCTCTTAAAATTTTGGTTCTTCTGTTGTCTAGGAACGGGATTTTCCAACAGAAACTGTTAAATTTGGCCCTGAACGAATGTATATTGATTGCTGGGTCAAAAAACATACCTATGACACCTTTAAGGAAGTTCTTGGATCAGGGATGCAGTATCATTTGCAGGTGAGTGAGTGACCTCTTTTCTGTGTGTTTGCTTTTAAATTAGGGAGCAGTTTTGAATGTAGTTCACTGAATGGGCAGAATGCTTTCAGCATAATACAAAACTACATTTTATTTATTTATTTATTTTACATTTATTTTTTAAAGTAGAATTGAGTAAGTATGAAACTGTTCTTTTTGTATTGTATAAATCCGGTGGAGCATCTATAAATTCGGTAGAGCGCTGTTGCTTTCCTCATAACTTTACTGGATTCAAGGCATTAGAAACAATTTAGTCTTACAAAGAGAAACAGAAAATAAGTGACCTAAGTTCTTATTTATAAGCTCCACATAACTTCTATTAATCAGATTTCACTTTATGTAGTAAAAAAGAGCTGATATTTAATAATGAGCCTTATTACCTTTCTATTTTACCGAAGTCAAATGAATTCCTTCGTAATGTATTTGAACTTGGACCCCCGGTGATGCTTGATGCTGCAACACTTAAAACGATGAAGATTTCTCGTTTTGAAAGGGTAGGTTTTGTTTTTGTTCTCATCAGAACTAAGTGCCCTGAAGAAAAGTGGAGCTGACGCTTTGATTCTACCAGGTGATAGGCGTTTAGTGGAGTCTGGGGGCCTTTGGTGCCCCATGCTGTTTCAGACACAACAGCTGTATTAAAACTGTAGAAACTTCACTGCATTTAGAGTACGGAGGGTTTGTAATGAATAAATTTTATCCACGATCCTATTAACATAGAAAGTATTTTCCTTTTTTGTTTTCTTTCATTCTGTTAACTCCTTTATTAAAGAATAAATATTTACTACATAGTGCTTCTTTTGTATCAGATAACTAAACCTACTTAGTAAGTACCAGATTCATTCTGCAAGTTGAGGAAACATGTGCTTAGAGAGTTTGTGACGTTACTTACCATGTCACTTAACCTTTCAAAAATCCTTAATTATATTTTTATGTTTTTACTGAGGTGAAATTCACGTAACATAAGCTATTTTAGTGTACAATTCAGGGCATTTAGTACACTCACAATGTTGTACAACTGTCTGTCTAGTTTCAAAATGTTTTCATCGCCTCAAAAGGAAACTTATACCTTTAAGCATCCACTTCCCATTCTCCCCTCTCCCCTCCCCGCCACCTGCTGGCAACCACTTGTGTCCTTTCCGTCTCTGCATTTACCTTTTCTGGATATTTCATATAAATAGGCTCTAATAACGTGTGACCTATTGTGTGGCTTTTTTCATTCAGCATTATGTTGCCTAAGGTCATCCATGTTCTAGCACATACCAGTACTTCAGTCCTTTTTGTGGCTGAATAATACTCCGTTGTGTTGGATGGATACACCACATGATTATGCAGCCATCCATTGATGGACATTTAGCTTGTTTCCACTTTTTGGCCATTGTGAATTGTGCTGCTGTGAACATTTGTGTACAAGTTTTTGTTAGAGCACCTGTTCTCAATTCTTTTAGGTATATGCCTAGGAACGGAGTTGATGGGTCATATGGTAGTTATATGTTTAATTTGTTAAGGAACTGCCAAACTATTTTCTATAGGGACTGAACCATTTTGCGTTCCCACCAGCAGTGTATGAGAGTTTCAATTTCTATATCCTTATCAACACTTGTTATTCTGGCTTTTTTGTTTTTGTTTTGTTTTAAATTGTAGCCATACTAGTGGGAGTGATGTGCTTAATCATATATGTTTTTTTTTTTTTTAAAGCTTTTATTTGGGAGAGTGCGTGTAAGTGTGCGATTTGGGGGAGGGGCAGAGGCAGAAAATCTCAAGCAGATTCCGTGCTGAGCGCAGAACCCAGTGTGGGGCTTGATCTCAGGATCCTGAGATCATGACCTGAGCCGAAACCAAGAGTCGGAGCTTAACCGACTGTGCCACCCAGGCACCCCTGAAGTGCTTAATTATATTTTTATAGACTCTTTATAGTTAATCATTTTTATGGTCATATAATTGTTTGTTGGATTAGTATTAGTATCTTTACATTATTTCTCTTTTGAATTTTTTCTCCAAAGAAATCTTTACATGGGAATATAGGGCCAGATTATGACTTTTTTGATATGTACTGCCAAATTACCTTCTAAAGTTATTCTGTCATTTTTAATTATTTCTAGTAATGAATGAAGGCATGTAGCTCTTACATATTTGACAGCATTGAGTTTTATGATTTAAAATATTCATTAGTTTAATTGGCATTAAGATGGAACCTTATTTTTTTCCTTGCTATTTTAATTAACTGGATATTTTGGGTATTTTCACTTTAGTTCATGATGTGTTTTTTCTTTGAACAGATTAAATGTTGATGCATTTTTTAAAACTTTTTGTTGGCATTTTCTTGGTATTTTACATATTTGATTAATATTTTTTTCTTTAATACAGAATATCTATCATCTATTATGTGTTAATTTTCCCTCTGGTTCTTTGTGTGTGTTTTATAAACATTTAAAATATTGATAAGGTTGAGGGGCGCCTGGGTGGCTCAGGCTCAGTTGGTTAAGCGACTGCCTTCGGCTCAGGTCATGATCCCGGAGTCCCGGGATCGAGTCCCACATCGGGCTCCCTGCTCGGCGGGGAGTCTGCTTCTCCCTCTAACCCTACCCCCTCTTGCGCTCTCTCTCTCACTCTCTCTCTCTAATAAATAAATTAAAAAATAAATAAATAAAATAAAATATTGATAAGGTTGAGTTAGCTCATTTCTTTCCTTTGTGATTTTTATTCATCCTTGTCTTTATCAGATTATCTTAAGCTTTAGTGATCCGCATGTGTTTTCGTTTCCTTCATTTCAGCACCTGTATAACTCCGCAGCCTTCAAAGCGCGAACGAAAGCTCGAAGCAAATGTCGCGATAAGAGAGCAGATGTTGGAGAATTCTTCTAGATTTTCAGCACTTGGAAGACCACTTTTCTAATTTTGTTTTTTTTTTTTTTTGGTAATTTCTAATGTATTTAAATTAGAGACAGTTTTTCTCTAGGGTCAGCTTAGATAGCTTTTGTAGCAGGGGTTATATTATAATTTAATGTGTACAGTATTGCAAATGGTGAGTTCTGATTATTGAATATTCTCTGTAAATCATTAAACATAAATAAAGTGTAATGTTTGGTCATTTTCTATTTATGAAGAGAGCAAAAATACAGTATTTCACTTGATTTCATAATGAGGAAAACTATTACCCAAGGTTAAATTTCTTATACTGTGGTTGTCCAAAAATATTGATTATAATGATGTAAATATACAAGGTATTTAACTTTAAGATGTTAGATAGGTGAGTTCTGGATACCGTTTTGGGAGCTAATTCTTCTGGAAAAGCTGCTATATTTTAACTTTTAAATGGAACCTTATTTAATTTTGTCACTGGGATCAACATAGAGAATTATACCATGAGACCTTAACAGCTGCACTTAAAGGTCATTCATTCCAGCTTTTGGGAGTTCATGAAGAATTAGCGTATGCCAGAAAGGCTGCTAACGTTGACCTCTGAGGGAACTAACACATTTTATCTGCTATATTCTTGTATTTTGAAATAAAGATCTTTTCACATAAAAAGTGCTTCTTTTCTAGTAGAAGAAACATTTATGGGTCTGAAGTAGAGTTCAAAATGACCAACCTAGGTAGGGAGTGAGACAAAACTTACTTTGTATATTTGGACACATGAAAATAAATGAAAAAAATGTAGCAATGTCATTGGGAATATTACTGTAGAATAATATTGTAGCATATCATTGGGATTCTAGTTACTGATTTCTTTGGTATTGGTACGGAAAACAGTAATAAGAGGCATGAGGGGTGGGGAAGCATGTACACTGTAGAGAAGAACCAAAATCATTGAAGGTACTTCACAAACTAGCGTTCTTCCTCTCCTGCATTTTCCACATCTCCGGGAGGTCTGATGGGGCCCCTCCTTGCACACGGGCTGGCCTGAGGGGGCGCTCTTGCTGCTGCGAGTGTCCGAGTGTCCGGCCCACCCCTCAGATCGGTGCAGAGGAAGACCGCCTTCGAATCCAGAACTTGAGTGTGCATGCTGTCACCTCCTTGTACTCCCAAGTAGGTTAGAACTGTGGAAAAGAGATTGCAAGTAGTGTTTTTGCCCCCTAAATTGTCAATTTCCTGTATGTATACATACTTTTAAATAATGAATTTTTATTAAATGATCTATATACATAGCTTAATGGTACTGCAAGGACTATAAGGAAAAATGTTAGCTCCTGGCTCCTCCTTTTCCATTCCCTTCCTAGGGGGGCATTTCAGCCTTGAGGTTTTTCCTAGTGCCTTGGTTTCAGATTTCTGAGTAATAGGCTTATACTGCTTATTTATAATTTACTATGTTTAGAAACCTCTGACAGCTTCCTATTTGATAGATGAAGGTTTCTGCCTTTTTACTTTTTTCTCATTCTCCCAGTATTTTTTCATTAAACTGGCATCATTGCATTATAGCGACCACATTTCTGTGTTCATTCCTGAACTAGTTTACTGTGCTTGTATTTCCATTCTCAACATTTTGTCTTGGTTTTACATCCACATCACTAATTCTTCCAAAACAGTCCCAAATAGGTAAAACTTTCTTTAAATCTGTTTTCGACATGGTCAAAGCTCTACTATATACTTGTTTTAGTCTAAACTAATTTCTTTCTTACCCATGTATACAGCTGTTTCCTGAGACTTCATCGTCCTGGGATTTGTTTTCCTCTCTTGGGCTGGAGTCTGCATTTCCTGGGCCCTATGTCTTGGTTATTAGATTACTTACTTGTTAAAGTGGAACACTTCCTTCAGTAACTCCGGAAATGGGTGCATGGGAGGTCAGTTACTTTTTTTTTTTTAAGATTTTATTTATTTATTTGACACTGAGAGAGAGATAGCGAGAGCAGGAACACAAGCAGGGGGAGTGGGAGAGGGAGAAGCAGGCTCCCCGCGGAGCAGGGAGCCCGATGCAGGGCTCGATCCCAGGACCCTGGGATCATGACCTGAGCCAAAGGCAGATGCTTAACGACTGAGCCACCCAGGCGCCCGAGGTCAGTTACTTTGAGAGTACTACATGTCTGAAAGGTAGTATGGATTGGCATATAAAACTTCAGGTAAATAAGAATTTCAAAGGCGTTGCTCTATTCTAATTAAAGTGTGATGCAGTTTTTATTTCTGATTTCTTTGTTTTTTTGTTAGAGGCTCTTTAGTGTTCTAAAATTGATACTGTGCTTTGATGGTCCCTGGCAATCTGGAAAATATTTGTAAGTTCTTGACCCTGCCCTGCACGGCACCCCACCCCCAAACCAAAAAACCCAACTGAACACACACACATTTTCTTTGTGCCCAAACCCCATGACAACTAGAGCAGCTGGATTGAGCCTCTGACCTTATTTTTCATTCATAGATTTTTCTTTCTGGGAGATGTCTGTAATGCAGTTTTCCAATGTTCATGAAATGACCTGCCTGTGTTTTGCTCCATACTTCATGTTGCCTCCAATTCCTGAGCCTGCCTGGATTCTGCAGGTCCCCTCACTCATTAGTGATTGTCCTCTGGAGTCCTGCGAAGGCAGGCTAACAACCACGGTCTCTTCCATATTCAATACATTTGTTGAAATCTTGGTCAGTATTGTTTCTTCCAATTTTCATTCTTGTGGTTTTGTAATTTTTATACCTATTCTGCCTTTTTACTGGGGTTTTAGGAGGAAGAAGAGAGAAATGAGTGTTAATCTGCATATTAAGTTTATAGATGGGTACATTTTCATGAGATTAAAGGCGGTTGCTCAACAAGGATTACTGGGGACTCAGTAATCAAATGTTTGAGTTTTCTGGAAAGTAGTAAAATGGTGTATGATAGGCCAGTTCATTCCTTGATTCTTTGTTAATCTTGCTGGTTTAAAGGAATTTAAAATGGTCCTTGCCTTCTAAGTTCTTTATTTTGAGGCTCAAGCATTCCATGATTCAAGTCTTTGATGACATTACTGAATTTCCTGGGAGTTGAATCTAGATAGAATAAAGGTATTTGAAATAAAAATCAAATACTTAAAGATGCCCCCGGGTAATTCAGGTGGCAATACCTATTTTCTTGTGGCTCTAAACTGTTCTTGATGTGCTCTTTCAGGTATGTAATAGATAAAATGAGGTATGTCCTCTTGCTTTGCTCTTAATGTGGTTCTCCAGAAAAGTGGAGACAATTGGTCATAAGCCATAAAAACTTTCATCCCCTTCACTGGTTTAAAAATTCAGGGGCACCTGGGTGGCTCAGTTGGTTAAGCATCTGCCTTCAGCTCAGGTCATGGTCCCAGGGTCCTGGGATCGAGCCCCGCATCGGGCTCCCTGCTCAGCGGGGAGCCTTTCTCCCTCTCCTCCCCGCTTGTGATCTCTCTCTCAAATACATAGATAAAATCCTTTAAAAAACATGGTTTTATTCAGATTTTGGTATAAGGAATTGCTTAGGCTTCATATTCCTCATCCCTGAAGGGGGACTGATACTTCACAGGGTTGTAAGGCTATAGGAGAGAGAAAAACAGTAAATGCTCAAAATGAGGCCATTCTATTATTTTTTCAAAAGTCTGATGGTTTGAATCTCAGATCTGTACCTCTGAAACAAATAATGCAATATATGTTAAAAAAAAAGTTAGCAGGAGGGGAAGAATGAAGCGGGGGAAATTGGAGGGGTAGATGAACCATGAGAGACGATGGACTCTGAAAAACAAACTGAGGGTTCTAGAGGGGAGGGGGGTGGGAGGATGGGTTAGCCTGGAGATGGGTATTGAGGAGGGCACGTTCTGCATGGAGCACTGGGTGTTATGCACAAACAATGAATCATGGAACACTACATCTGAAACTAATGATGTATGGGGATTAACATAAGAATAAAAAAATGTAAAAAAAAAGTCTGATGGTTTAAGACAGGTAGTTGGGAGATTATTTCAAAAACAGGATGATAATTAGCAGCAAACAAACATTTTCATTTTTCACGGAATTTGGCATAGCTTTTTAATGTACAATATACCTCTGAGAAGACAGTTACTAGTTATATCGTCTTCCTCCATGAATTGGTCCGCTGGTACAGATGAAGCCTAAGAAAAAGGCATTCCTTTCCCCTAAAAGTAGGGTGAGGTCCATACTGAATATAAATGTAAACGAAGTTCTGTGAAGCAAACATTTTCTCAATGAGGTACAAAATGTTTCAAGGACGAATCATGTCCATCTAGAAGTGGCAGTGGAAGGTGGGATTCGGAAGGACTGCGTATCAGTTTACTACCTAGCCCTCAGCATCCTGCGGGGATAGCCTGTCCCTGTGGCCAGCAAATGGGACTCACAGGAGCTCCTTTTATGTACAGCAGAGGGCAGAAGCTCCTTGGCATGTGTGTGAGGGAACCACACAAGAGAGAGCCTGACATTCCTGAGAAAAGAAGATGCCTCAAAACCCACAGAGTAAATAAAGCCTTCAAGTAGAGAAGGAAGTGGATGAGACCAAGTGCTTCCCTTGCCTGCAGTGGGTCTGAAGCCTGTATACAATCTCCCGCTCACAATCCTGTTTCGTAGCTACTGGAAGCCCTAGGAGCTCTCCGAGGCGCCATCCCCCTAGTCAGTACCACACCCTTACTCTGTCCTTGCTGATTGCCGTCGTCTGGTTGGCCCGGAGTCCTGTGCAAGTTAGTCGTCAGAATGGCAGCTCCAGTCCGCTACTGCATATTCATATATGGGAGCATAGCGGGGCCGGAGCGCTAGAAATGTGTCCGCTTACACAGACACAGGAGCCAAATAAGGACATTAACTTGGGTCCAATAAGAACCTCATCAGTTACCAGTTGAATCAAGGCAGGGTGGCTTTTTCTTTTTAAAGCATAGTTTCAGGAATATATTCACGAAAAACCTCAGACATTTTGAAAAAAGTTAGTATTTGGGATCTTATGTTGCTTGGCTAAATTAACACTAAATATAGACCGACGTCATGCTGGCGTTTCTGGGCCCTGTAGGAGCACCTGTGCGCCGAAGGAAGGCAAAGAAAGAACCACAGAATTTGTAGAAAGTTTTATTGCCGTTGCTTCTGAATAGTTGGTTCTTTTTTTTTTTCCTGGCAACCTAGCAGTCAAAGCTCACATTTTTGTAAGTAATTTGCATGCTATTACTCTGCCGACCCTAAATTATGATTCTTGAGGTTGGGATGTTTTTTGTGGCTTGTGCTCTGTGCTTTTAACTTTTGATAGAAATGATTTAGACTTGACTTAAAAAATTAATTCCTGAATGTGAAGAGGCACTGACTCTGAAATGGAATTAAAGAACAAATTACCATGACTCACTCAATAAAGCTTCCTATTAGCTTTGAATTAAGCCCTATTATAACAATAATGATTCTGTGGCAAGCAATACAGGTGTGTAATTTCTGAGCTTTGATACTGAGCACTTATGGGAAAAAAATAAAGAGCAAAGCCATTTTTCATAGACAGCTATTTCGTCAGAATATTTATTTGTACGTAGTGAGTCCTTAAATGATGAAAAGAATCAGCTGTGAACATTGATCTAAGCTGGAGGAAAATGATATTACTTACATGTTTCAGTGCAAGGTTTCAGAAAGGGCTCCGTTAAAAGGATACTGCTTTGGTCAATCTCAATGAGCAGATTTGCACACCAGTGTCAGGGAGGAGGGCTGAGCTAGTGTGATGCAGAATTTAGTAACCAGCCCTGCTGATTGTTGCCCTTCTATGGAGGTGCCAAAGATAGCAACAACTGGATGCCAACAGCCGTGGGTCCTGGTTTTAGGGCCAGGTGATCCTGTATCCATTTACTCATGGAGTCATTGATAAGCCCTTGGTGGCCATGAACCACAGACACCCAACTCTGTTTTCTTTGCCAGTTCTTTATTTTCCATTCGCAGTTGTAGTTAATCTAAAAATACATGAAAATGGCATCTATTTATATTGTGACTTTACCCTGAAGAAGAAATGTACTTTCAGGGCACTTCATAGCTTATTCGAAGTTGCTGCCTTTGTGCTTTTGGATTTGATGTTGCACTAGTCATCTTTGTCAGTAGCAAGGCTAATAATTTGGAGATTTAATTAGCTGCACGGCTCTTAGGTTAGCTTTTGTGGCTATGATTTTCCAGTTGGCCCTCCACTTTGTAAATGTCGATTAAGCTTCAGTATGAGATTTGAGCACTAGGAATTCCATTCCTAACGGGGAAGCTAAGGCTCAAGGACATTAAGTCAGAGACCCAAAAATGAACCAGGCGTCAGTCACCAAGCCTAAAATAGAAGCTGTGGCCGGAATGATGATCTTATGATGTGACGCATACAACTTTTATGCCTCATCAGATATTAGTATTGGGGATAGTAAAGTGTAAGAGATGATAAAATGCGAAGCATTTCTGGAAGAACGGAACTGTGACCATGCTTCAGTCCCTACGGTTTTGTCTGTGAGAGGATAAGATTTGATTGATCTCTAAGGCTCCTTTATTTTATATGCAGTTGCTGCTTTTTAAAAAATGATCACTTCATGTCATTCCCTTAGGAATGTTCCACGGGGGGCGCCTGGGTGGCTCAGTTGGTTAAGCGACTGCCTTCGGCTCAGGTCATGATCCTGGAGTCCCAGGATCGAGTCCCGCATCGGGCTCCCTGCTCGGCAGGGAGTCTGCTTCTCCCTCTGACCCTCCCCCCTCTCATGTGCTCTCTCATTCTGTCTCAAATAAATAAATAAAATCTTAAAAAAAAAAAAAAAGGAATGTTCCATGGGTGTATTTGGGATTCAGTAATATCAGTATCTAAGGTGCTTTAGTAGTAGCTAATCTAAAGTACCCAGAGAATCATGTGTTTTTGTTAATTAAAATTTCAGGATAACTGAAACACCTTGTTCAGTTTTTAGCTTTGATTGAGAAAAAGTTTAATTAGTCCATGACATTTTTTTAAAAGATTTATTTATTCGTTTTAGAGAGAGAGAGAGAGAGCCCATGTGGTGGGCGGGGCAGAGGGAGAGAACCTCAAGTAGGCTCCGCGCTGAGCGCGGATCATGAGCCAAAATCAAGAGGCAGCCGCTCAACTGACTGAGCCACCCAGGCGCCCCAGTCCATTTTGAACTCACTGTTTTTTTAGGGCTTCAGGAGCATTTTTTTTTTCCCCCACAAGTACTAGTGGGTTTCCAGTATCACTGGGAAATTCCTGGTTTTTAATATTTTCGAATGCAGTTTAATCTACTTAGGAAATGGCTGGTTCTTTTTTCAGATCTCCTATAGATGTTCACATCTTTCTTTCCCCTGAATTTGGTTTCTCCCCTTTTTTTTCATTCTGTAACTGCTATTGAAAGAAAAATTTAAAATGTTCACAGGAATTAGTGTGTTGCTTATCAGCAGGCACAAGGTTTATCGACTTTACCAGAGACCAGGTAGATATCACATGAGGATTTTTATACTCAGTTTTATTTCTGTTAGTGTATTTATGATTAACTGCCTCAAATTCTTTTGAAAATAGTGAGCTTCAACTCTTGAATAAAATATTTTAGTTGCTCCCACTTACCGTAAGTCAGTGGCTTATACGTTTGATGCTGGATATTTGGAGAATAGGATTGGTGCCCACCCTCAGGAGTTCTCAGTCAGTTTGGAAAGTCAAAGATGTGAGCAATAAATGCTATAAAATAGTGTAAGTGTCGGGGCGCCCGGGTGGCTCAGTTGGTTGAGCGACTGCCTTCGGCTCAGGTCATGATCCTGGAGTCCCGGGATCGAGTCCCGCATCGGGCTCCCTGCTCGGCGGGGAGTCTGCTTCTCCCTCTGACCTTCCTCCCTCTCATGCTCTCTGTCTCTCATTCTCTCTCGCTCAAATAAATACATAAAATCTTAAAAAAAAAAAATAGTGTAAGTGTCCTGGTGGAAGAATGTACTGCATTCGGCAAAAGCACAAAGGAAAGGCAGGTTGATTCTTAGAGGAGGTGAGGTTTGAGCTGAGGCTTGAAAGAGGGTTAGGGAGGGATGTGAAGAAGAAAGGGACGACACATGAACTCTGAAGCAAGAGGCCCGCTTCCAGCTCTGCAGCTAACTAAATGTATGATCCTGGGCATTCACCAGCTCAGCTTCGATTTCCTCACTTGGAGGAAGGATGGGGACCAGACTAGAACATGTCTACAATCCCTTTCAGATCAAAAAGCCATGTATCACTATTAGACTCATTTTATGAAAAGAGATAACTGTGAAAGAGACGGCTTTGATAGTAATTTGAATTTGTCTTCCTAGAGCCCTGTATTTCATGTAATTAAAGGGCTGCAAGTTCTCTGTTGTGCTGGACAGACATCTTAAAATAGACCTTTTAAATCCATTCAGGCTTTTCAGGGTTGAAGTTGTGCTGTCGTTAGAAAATGTAAGCCTCACTTTTAAAATTCTGTATTATGTAAGTGACCTCGATCTAAGGAAACTCAGGGGGAAGAGACCTCAGATGTCCCAGAGTCGAGCCTCCAGCTTGCCATAGAGTTCCTGTCTGTAGCACCTAAGCTTGTGAAGATTTTGTCTTGAGGACTCCCAGCCAGCATCTCATGGCTAAAGGATACATTTAAGGTAGAAACTCATATGCCATATTGAGTGAGAATATAAAAATTGCAGTTTTGTGCAGTTGGTTGAGCGTCTGACTCTTGATTTCAGCTCAGGTCATGATCTCAGGGTTGTGGGATCGAGCCCTGCATCAGGCTCCATGCTCAGTGTGGCATCTGCTTGAGATTCTCTCTCTCCCTCTGCCTCTGCCCCACCCCCACCCCCCCAAAAAACAAATAAAATCTTTAAAAGAAAATTGCAGCTTTGTTTTAAAGCCTCATGCAATTAGGATGGTTCACCGTAATACTCTCTTCCCCCTTCAGAATCTTTGGGCCACAGGCTGACTAGTTTAGTTTTATCTTTCTTGGGCAAAGGATTTGAGGTATCTCACCAGAATATAAATAGTGTAATAAAAGAAAAAATATTTTAAAATAACTTACAAAATAAAAAACAGGCCCAGGAAAAACAGTGAGAAATGAGAAATCAGAGGAGGAGGATATTCAGAGAAGCAAGGTATAAAGGGCTCACACTGGGCCACACACTTGAGTCTGGGCTTCCTGGCAAGCCAAGCAAATAAAAAAAAAAAGGTACAAAGTTGTCCCCACATGGAAAAATTTCCTTCTGGACAAGCACAGCTTTTCTAGACCTTCAGCTGGAAGTAATGCATGTGGGGGGTTCTTTATGTGCCTGTGGCCTGTGATTCTTGTGACTCCGGGCTCTGGGCCCAGCCTTCTGCTTCCTGTCACTGTTTTCTTCCAGGAACAATGAATCATTCCCAGGACACCGGCCCTCGAGGCATGCCTGAAGAAAGAAAACTTTATATTGTGGATTCCATAAATGACTTAAACAAACTAAACCTCTGTCCTGCCGGATCACAGCACCTTTTCCGTATGTGTGCCCTCCCAGGCTTGGTGGCCCTTCCTGGCTTCTAGGCCACCTAAAAATACCAAATGCTAATCTGGCCCTGTGGGGGGGTGTGGGGGGGTGTGGGGGGGGCGGAGGGGAGGGGAGGCATTAGGAACACCTCAGCTCTGGAAGGGCTATTTATTATCAGGCAATTTTTGTTTTTGTTTTCTTAATACTTGGCAGGCTTAGGGGCTTGACTCTTAAGCAAGATGTGGAATCTGTCTTCAAGAGTTCTGAGACGTTCTGTGGAGTGTCTCTCCCTGGAAAGGGGTAGAGGCTGCAGGTCTTCCGAGAGGTTTGCTTCTCCCTCTTGGCGGCTGTTGCACCTTCTGGGGACCCCAGCCAGGTCACCGGTGGGGCCCACTTTCCTAGAGAGCTCTGACTTCGTAGTGGGTTCCTGGAATATGCTCCACGCATTCCTCCAGCTTTTAAAAAGTCATTAGAATTTTTCTGGGCAAAGAAGTCAACTTCATTTTCTGCTTACAAATTACAAATGGCCCCAATTAAAGGGTTAAAAAAAAGGAGGGGAAAAACAAAACAAAAATCTGCTAAATACTAAATGTGTACTTTGTTCCCTAAATATTGTAAATGAGCTCGATCAGCTCATTCTGAGCCCCATTTTTCCAGCTTAAACTCTGACAGTCAAACACAAGCATTAATTTTTCCCCTGGCCCCTTGTTCCATTCCCATTCTAAACTCGGACTGTCCCACATTTGTATCTATCATTCCCCTTCTCAATCCTTCCTGAGGTCTCGCTTTTTTCTTCATTTTAATGCATTCGGGTTTTCACCTGCCTTTATTGCAGTCAGTCTCAATAGAAACAGGTGTTTGGGTGCCGGCTTAGGCCATCGCTTTGATTAGGAAGCAAAAGTTGTTTCAGGGTGACGGAGCCCAGGACACAAGCCACCCACCGAGCTACAGTCGAGCAGCACAGTGTGGGGGACGGATGCCAAGTAGGAGAGAAAACAGAAGGGAGCTCGTTCGTCTCTGTGACCCCAAGTTTCTCTATTTCTTACTGAATTTAATTTGGGTGTTACCAGGCACGCAGGCCTTACAAAATGATGGCCACATGCAGACACTTCATGCTCGGGCTGACCCAAGCTGCTCTAGGAGCATGGTTACAGTCTCAGTTTAACTGCAGGACATTTAAAAGAACCTTGTTTCCAGAGCAGGTCCGTCCCAGAGACAGCTCTAAGAAACCAAAATACGTCGGCCCCATTTTTCTGTTTAAATGGGTGTGGGCTAAACTGATCACTCCTATGTTGCAAGGAGTTTCCTGGGAGACATTCCAGAGTATCCAGCCTTCTACTCAGAAGAGGTGTCCCAGCCAGCTGTGTTTTACTCGGGGGTCACGTTGGGGGAAAGGGTGATAGAGCCTCCATCGCTCTGAACTCTTAACGCATGTAGCCTCCCCCACTCACCCAGAGAAAAGCCCAGGTCCTGCTCCTTCAGTGTTAACACCATCTTCAAAGAACTTTCCAAGGAGATTGCTTAACCCTGCTTGTTTTTTGAATAGCAATGTTGAAGAAGGTAAAAAATTCACAAAGAGCACCAGCCCAAAGACATTCCTAAAACATAAGTTACTCTCCAGGGTGATGACAGGGGAAAATGGGCATATCCCCTACTCACACCTCTAATCATGGGGGACCGGTCAGGTCTGCGGACAAGCTGCCTGCTGAGGAGTTTTTGTCATTGTTGTTTTTGTTTGTTTCCTATCAGCGCTCCAGGAGAAAATCCCAGACGTTGGCACTAACTCAGGAAATGGAAGTCATAGTCTATTTTTTATGGGGCTGATAATGGTGCTGATTGTCAGCCTGGCCCTGGTTTCCTTTGTGATTTTTCTAATAGGTAAGTACCACCGACATGTTCTCATTACTTAAACACTCTTACTTTGTGGCTGGTTGTTTAACTTTATTCCGGCAAGGGGTCCCTGCTTTTTGGCACTCACCTACGCTCCCTGAAAGACAGAGGGAGGGCGGGTGCCCTGACTGAGCCCTGCAGCTCTGGGAGGGTCACGGGGACACGAGCCCACAGTGCCCAAAGTTCACAAATGCCTACTATGACTTTACTATCTTACTTGGAGTCCCTCGCTGTCAAACGGTCGGCGGCTTATCCTTGCTGATTCTCGGTTTGCTTGATCCGGGGCATAACCCCTCCATTAATTCCACTCTGCACCAGAGTCACATTCAGGCTTCGAAACCCTTTCCAGGTTTTCTCACTTCTCAGGAATCAGCTGGAAGCACTGAGGGTTGGGGCAGGGTCCCGGAGGCAGCGTTAGGGAGGTGTTAGGCCCTTCTCTCCTGTTTGACACTGCTTGGGCTGTGTGAGCTGCCATCCCCCCCCCCCCCCAGTGACCCGGGCTGTCCCACATAGCTCCTCAGCCAAGAGACCCCCCCAGACCTCAGTGCCCTGGTAGCGGCAGGGCTGCTGCCCCCTCCCCTCGAGCCCCCCAGTTTTCTCTCTCAGCTGACCCCTGCGGGCCATCATCCGGGATTTTTCAGCTCCTTCCCAGATCCGAGAGGAGGGAGTCATCTTTGATACCTTTCCCCCCCCCGGATCCACCACACTGCCATTTCTTCTGCCCTTTCTTACTCTGCAGGCCGTGTAGCCTTCAAAGATCTTCAAGGAGAAGTAGAGCCCATGTCTTTGGAATGCCTTTAATTTAAATTCATTCAGGATTAGAGGTAGAGGTGGTGGTGATGCGGGGGGAGACAGGTGGGCAGAGGGCGAGACTCTTTCAGAGCTTCCGACGCCTTTTCCTCCCCAAACTCCCGCCTTCCAGCTAACAGGTCTCTATCCAGCCTCGGGGGTGGGGCAGGTAGGGAGGTATGATGTTTAATCGCTTCTCTCTCGCCCAGCCGTTGCCTTCTTGCACTTGAAGCTGCAAGGGCAATTCTCCGTACAGTAATGGTGCCCTTCTGTCTGACCGCCTGTTGGATGTGGGTTGTTCCTGAACCTTCAGGGCCAGAAGGAGCCCATGGGTTACTCTTCTGAAATGTTACACCAACCAAAATGAATGCTCCCATTATCATTCTGCCACACGCATCTGGGACAATGGCTGAGTTAAACTACGAGGAAATTTTAGGTATGCCCACAGACAGGAGAGCCACCCAAAGGACCTCCTCTCTTCTGTGGGATGATAGGTGGTAAGATTAGGGGTAATGCTGATAACATATACTATCTATTGGGCACTCACTGTCGCAGGCACTGGGCGAAGCACTTGATGTCTGTTTGCTCACAACCTCATAACAGCTCTGTGGTGTAGGATCTACTATTATTCTGGTTTTATGGATGCTGAGGCTTTGATTATTTACCGTGCCTGAGGTCCACAGCTGATAAGTGCCCAAAGACACTCCCGCCTGACCTCAAAGAGCATGCACTTTGTCACCGTCATTATAAATATGGTTTATTTTAAATTTGCCGCTGGTGTTTTATATTGAGGGCAAAGTCATACGAAGAAATGGAAAGAAGACATGAATAAAGAATGTCTTTATTGGGCAGTTGCTCTGTGCCAGACACAAATCCATTATCTTCAGTTTTTACCTCTTCAGATAGTATTTAATATTTCTATTTCATCAATGCGAGACTAAGGCCCAGAGAGTTTACCTCTCCATGTTTACCCTGCTAATCAGAGGCAGAACTGGGATCCACACCCTCATCTGCCTGGCTCCAGAGCTCCCCTGCCCTCCATTGCCTACGCTGAAGTAATGAAGTAAGGACTTCCTGTGGCTTTCGGACAAAGCTTAACCTAAGACCAGAGTTGGTTCAGGCATCTGAACTTGGCCTGTGCTCATCTTTAACAAGGAAATCTTTTTGCTCTCAGTGGGATTTAGTGCAAATTTGTAGCCTTTTCACGGATGAGAAAGAACCCGTATTCTTTATAACTCTGGTCTTTTTACATAAGAGAGAGAAGACTTATTTTATACTGATTACTTTCTTATTAAACCATGGGGTCTTGAGGCGCCTGGGTGGCTCAGTCGGTTAAGCGTCTGCCTTCAGCTCAGGTCATGATCCCCGAGTCCCGGTATCGAGCCCAGCAATGGGCTCCCTGCTCAGCAGGGCGTCTGCTTCTCCCTCTCCTCCCCGCTTGTGCTCTCTCGCTGTCTCTCTCTCTCAAGTAAATAAATAAAAATCTTAGAAAAATAAAAAATAAAAACCCTATGGGGACTTTGTTTTTGTCATAATCTCTGTCCAAAAAAGGAATAATAGACAGCAAGGGTAGATTACTATGGATGCCTCTGGTAGCAGTTTCTAGTGGCCAAGCAGTGGATTCCAGAGAATACTGGGTGCATGGGATATTATTAAGTGTGGCCTGGAGAAAAAAAGGATTCTATGGTCAAATGCGTTTGAGAATTGCTGAGTGAGCTAATGCTCAAAGTGTTTTTTTACTTCCTGTGAGTTTCCAAGAGGCAAGTTAGTATATAATTTTTCGGTAAACTTTTTTGCCCATGCAACTCTTTTTCTTTTTTGGAATTTAATTTGGAATCAGTGTATCATGGGACATGCTTAAGCCAACACGACTGCTGCTTCCTTCTCTGACTAATGTTCTAGGAGGTTCCCAAGAGGGGAAAGGATCTCATGTGTTTCACATTCTCCCCCAGGAGCAAGTGGGATTCCTGCCTTGCTCTGCAGGAAATCTCAATTAAGATCCTTCCTTCATGTCTTGGACCCTAATTCATCCATCCTAATTTTTTAAACTTGGGGAAGAAGCAGCTTCTGGGCAACAATTTGTCCCAAGCCTGGAGGGGAGGCGCTAATGTCTAGTTGCCCTTCCCACATTAGTTGATCCACGAAAGCCTCGTGGCATGTTACCAACATCATTAGTTCCTGAAAGATGCCTTGGAAAATTTAACTCTGTGATCAGCAGACCTCGTGTTCCGTTCCATAGCTGACTTCATTGCCAGTTCTGTTTATTTTGAAAGTATTGTCTCTGTTCTTAGGAGGGTCTGAGGGGAATTCTTACATATTTGTTTATGGGCTGGTAATCCAGAACCAGCAGAGCTATGTCAAAAGAGGCTGAAACCCAGAAAACCTCATTTCCTGATGAGGAGCCGAAAACCTTTTGAGAAGAGGTCTCTGAAAAAGACAATGTAACAATCCCTGCTCATAATGAGACATGCTGGGGGTTTCCCTCCGTTGCTCACAGTGATGTTTCTCAGCCAAAATCAGCGCAGAGCTTCCAAAGGTAGTCGAGGCTGGCCCCAATAAATTATAAAAATAATCCACTTGGTAGATAACTTGAGTCTTCAGCAATTTCTCTCCCGGGTTTCTGGGCTGCCTGGGATATGGGAGCAGGGGACCTGCCAAGGGGACCTTTCAGCACTCAGCTAAGCTCCGACACAAGGCACTAACGAGCCCCTATGGAACAGCCTGGAAACCAATGTAACACAGTCTGTTTTCTATTTTGAAGTTCAAACTGGAAACAAGATGGATGATGTGTCAAGAAGACTAACAGCTGAGGGAAAGGACATAGACGATCTTAAGAAAATCAACAGCCTGATTGTAAAGCGACTCAATCAACTGGATGCTGAACAAAACTAAAGAAATGAGCATCCAAAAGCAGCTGCTAATGCTGGAGCTTCACACTTTACTGGGCGTGCACAGGGTTATGAAGTGAGCATGCGCATTTCTGCAGGCAACAGAATATCTGGTTCGTGATCCCAACCCTGGGGCCAACTTTCTGCTACAGGGATGGGAGCAACTCCAAGGCAAAGGGGCATGGGATAGCAGCCAGAAAAGGGCTCTTTTTATGGTAGGGTCCTTCTGCTTCATTGGGGTTTAGGGTGGCTGGCATGAAGGAGAACCAACAGTTAGCAAGAGAATTCGGCTCCGTACCTACACCTTCTCTTACAAAAGGAGTGTTGTCACCAGAATAAGTTCACTGTACCAGTGAGGTTCATGGCACCTCATGCGCCTTTATGAATTCCTGTGACAGCCTAATGAATCCAGTGAGTTATTTGTATTCAAGGGAACCAGGTGATGACTCTTCTCAATAAAAAATTCTGCTCAGGTGATTAAACTCTGACTCTTCCCCAAGGACAGGGGATGGGTGGGTTTCAGAGCCAATTGCCTTCTGGTATTTGCTAGTAGTATTGATATGATATATGGTAGGGTGGGGGTCAATAGAGAGAGCCTAAGTTATTCAACCAATGTTTATTGAGCTCTTTGTGCAAACCATCTGTCTACTTTAGAAGAGTTTACATTCAATTGGGGAACAAAGGAAATGTATGGTTATATATATATATATTATATAAGCTTTGTTGGCATTCTTTCTCATGAAAAAAAATCCTTCAGTGTTCTGCTGCTTAATTTTGAAGCAATCTGATAGGTTTGTGGTCTTTACTAAGCTACAGTAGGAAATTGTGTATTTGGAATATTTGAAATCTGCCCTGTTTTAGCCCAAAAGGTAAGGTACACAGTTTGTGATATAAGATATGGTGTGATATAAATGAGCTTAAAAAGCATATGAGTCTTAGAAAATCTTTTATTTAATACAAATATATTGTGCAAGTTTATTGAAGAATGCATTGCGATGGGGCGCCTGGGCGGCTCAGTTGTTAAGCGTCTGCCTTCGGCTCAGGTCATGATCCCAGGGTCCTGGGATCGAGCCCCGCATCGGGCTCCCTGCTCAGCGGGAAGCCTGCTTCTCCCTCTCCCACTCCCCCTGCTTGTGTTCCCTCTCTCGCTATGTCTCTCTGTCAAATAAATAAAATCTTTAAAAAAAAAAAAATGAATTGCGATTCTGTCATTTTGGGCTGATCAAAAACCTGTCATTAACTATTAAACACATACACACACATTTACATTTTACAACACTAGTTGATGAAATAAACACAAGACATTTTACTTACCCATTTTTGCCCTCAAAAACATTTGTCCTGCATACTTACTCTCTTCATATGGATAGATATCATATAGAATATTTTAATAATCTAAAATTTGTGTTTACTGGAAAATTCTTATTGCACTTTGATGGGTTGTGGCAAAATAATTTATCAGGAGGGAGAGAGATGCAGGGCTCAATCCCAGGACCCTGAGATCATGACCTGAGCCAAAATCAACAGTTGATGCCCAACTGATTGAGCCACCCAGGCGCCACTTTTCTTTCTTTTTAAACAGCTTTCCTGAGCTATCATTGACATATAAAAATTGTATATATTTAAGGTATAACAACTTGATGTTTTGGTATACATATATTGTTGAATGAGTACCACAATTAAATTAACATGCATCACCTCTATACTTACCATTTGTGTTTGGGGGGACTTGGGGGTGAGAATATTTAAGATCTGTCCTCTTAACACATTTCAGGTAAACAGTATTGTTAAAGACGTGATGAAAAAGTAAGTCAGAACGAACTTAATTCTATGTAACGAGTGGGAATTGCGCGTATGTGCCTTACCCAGTGGTGTGGGTTGTGCTGGGCTTCCCTGAGCCAACACTGCAGATGATCCAAGAGGAGGCTGAGTGAGGTGTGGTCCTCTCTCCAAATGGGCTTCTGATCTATGTCATATGTATGTTAGTAACAAATTATTTTCCAACCTGGGGAAGATAGGTGGGACATTACCTTTGGTTGGGGATGGAGGGCATTTTGATAAGCATATAGATTTTATGAGAAGAACTGATCAAATACATCCATGTCAATTGCTTATAATGGTAATACTTCCAGCACCTGATAATAATATGCTGTCTTAATGTCTTACTCAGAGAGGCCTTGATATTTAAGATTTTTAAAAGAAATTTTGGTCCTTGAACCAAAAGATTTGGTTAACACCCCCATATTTCTTGGTTTTTAAATTATGAATAGCTAGAGAAAACAGACGGAAGCATTTAACTTGTGTTGCTAAACGCTTGGCTCTGCGCTGGTTTCTTTATATAATTTTTTTAATCACAAGAACGTGTGCGGTTTCTTAAAAATGGATTAGATGATTACTTCAGCCTGAAAAAAATTTTTTCTTATTGTTTTCAATTTGGTTCTACAGAACAAGTGAATTGTAATCACTGGAAATGGGGTGGGAGGGGGGAGAATGTTTGTGTAAATAAGACATGAGAAACCAGTATCGACCTGTAGCCACAAACAGGAGACCGCAGTGGCTAGCGTGCTCATTGAGGAATCACCTGGGAGGCTTAAAAATCCCCCAGAGTCCCGAACTTACTCTCAGAGATTCTGAGCTAGCAGGCAGGGGGTGGGGCTGGGAGCTCATGTTTTTAAAAAGTTGCTGTGATGATTCTGGTGCTCCGTTTGGATGGGTGGCTGAGCAGATCATGGATTTGGAGTAAACTTGGGTTTGGATTCTGGTATTATGCATGAGTAGTGTTGCCTTGACCTCTCCTCACTTCCTCAACTTCCCTGACTTTCAGGTTGTTCCTTGGTAACACGGGAGGGTATTGCTTCTGGTGAAAATGGGGAATTTGATAGAAAGTTCTTCAGGCTCTGTAGTGTTTATAAGTCATTAATAAGTTGTACATTAAAAAGGGGGACTATCGGGGCACCTGGGTGGCTCAGTTGTTAAGCGACTGCCTTCGGCTCAGGTCATGATCCTGGAGTCCCGGGATGGAATTCCACATCGGGCTCCCTGCTCGTCGGGGAGTCTGCTTCTCCTTCGGACCCACCCCCCTCTCATGCTCTCTCTCTCTCTTTCTCTTATTGTCTCTCTCTCTTTCAAATACATAAAATCTTTGAAAAAAGTGGGAGACCATCTGGTCATTCGTGGATATTATTTTTAATCTCCAGGGAACATTCATGATCTCTTGTCAAAGACCTATGAATGTCTTCAGAAGAACACTCCACTTTCTACTTTTCATTTCCTTCCCTTCCCCCATATCCAGACCTTCTCAACTGCACTTGGCGTAAGCTCCAGTTGAAGGAGCTATTTCACTTTTCTGAAGAGCCTTTGAGAGCCATTCTGATAGCAGATGTGAGTGAGATGCCGGGAACCCTGAGAGATAAGGGTTCTGAAGAAAAGCCAGACAGGGACTCCTGCCCCAGGAGAGCAGAGAAGGATGATTCCTGAAATAGTAGCTTTGGGATACCATGACCTGTGGGCTTCCTGGCAATGTGAGACACACAAATCTGACCAGGCAGGTAGACTGTCCAGCAGTTTGTCTTTTCACATACATTGGAATGTGGTGTCTTTGACCTTGATCTAAAGACACAAAGGATTCAGATTTTAGATTTTTGATTGAGCGAGGTAGTGCTGCTCTGGGCGCTGCCTAAGGGAGAGGCCTGTTTGCACGTGAGAATGACCCTCCCTTGCCCCAACCCCGCTCGTTCTATCAGATTCCACCTTGTCTTCATTTCGAATGAGAACCTCCTGTCTTCGACATCTTCAGCTGAAGACATTTTATAGGTCTTTTGACAGACTACTGACGTTCCCTAGGGACTAAAAATACTGTTGAATGGTCAGATGTCCCTCCTTTGATGTAACAGTTACAAGTGACTTAGAAATAACTCTACAGAGGTGGTGAGATAACAAAATAGAATCAATACCAAAATACTCAACAATCAACTGAAACCAGTGACAATCATGTACATGAAGTGAGGCAAATGATGAATTCAGTCCTCAGCACGGCGGAGCAGAACCAAGCAGTGGAAATGAGCTGGGATTCCGTTTACACTGAGTGGTGCAGCTCTTCAACCTGCCAAGAGATGAAAACTGGGCTTACGTGTCGTTGAATTTTCCGTGTTTGCATGAGTTAATTGGGGCAAAGCTTGTGTTGCCCCTGAATTTCCCTCACCATCTAAAAGAGACCAAGCTGGACCTATAGGAAGTCACATAATTGGTCAGAAGGAAATTCGAGGAAGCTTTTACCTTTGTTTTACTTCTTTCTTTTTTTTCCCTTCTAAGTTGGTCCTGCCAATAAAATAGTAAAGATTTTTCTGTAGACCTTTGCTTTCAGGCCGGGAATGTGGGGAGTAGGACGTGAAGGGGATGAGGGCAGAGAAAGCAGCCGTGGTGTGAAACAGAGAGCCCACGGGCAAGGCTGCTGTGTTTGCAATCTTCCCAGATGGAGGGAGACATGGGCTAGCTGCTCTGTGTCTTCCCACAGAGATGAAGAAGGCATGGGCTGTGGGAAAGGAAGTCATGATCCTAGCTTTTCCTTGTTTTTTTGGCTTCCTCTGACTCTCCTGTCTTTCTAAATTTCAAAACATGATGCATTATTCATGGACGAGTCCTCAAAGACACAGGAACAACCTTGTTCCATCGCGAATATTCTTCCTGATTGTGGAGCGCTACTCCACAGAGCATTTATTGTCTGATGAACAAAGGGAGTAGGCCAAACAATTGAAAGACCAGTTAATAATTTAATTATGCCTTCTTAAATACCAAAAATGTCCAATTCTCCATGCCCTAAAGTCATTTTAAATATTGCCACAGACTAAATTATAATTCTCTTCCACATCCTCACTCCCCCAGACTTCTTTAATATTGATGAGTTGGGGGTCAACTTCTGAATCACACTTAAGGGCTCAGAAAGAGTTTCTTACAGACTCAGAAAATAAACAAGGAAAAGACATTAGGATCTATTTTCAAACCTTCATTCGGTACAGGTGATAGAAAACCTGGGTTCTTTCCATATTACTTGTAGAAGTCACAAAGGAATCTTCCATAATCATTACCCCCATCAATTTGATGCCATCTCTTTCTCCTTTGAACTAGAACTTGATTTGAACCTCCCTGATTTTGCCTTGTCATTGTGTGCTTGCATCGTACCCTTTGCATGGCTCTCCTCTGGGCTTCCTCAGGGCATAGTACGTTGCTCAATAATGTGAATGTGTGCAATTGAATCAAGCTAGGAAGTCTTTCCAGTTTGCCTGCATTGCCTCTGATTTGCAATTAGAACAAAGTGGTGCTCACTAATAGGAGAGGAGGGACACCTGGTGGCAGTTGGTTATTTCAGAGGAAGGAGGTCACTTTGAAAGGAAGAAAGGAGGTGAGTGTTAAAATATAGTTTGATATCCATGGGAGGGTGAATGGTTGTTTCAGACATAGGACATCTGTGGGCTTATGTCTGGGGAAAAGGCTATTAGACTAGAAGATCACATAGATAGTGGTGAAGACTGTGTGCTTTGGGGTTGAAGGACCTTCCTTTGAATCTGGTTCTGCTGCTTGCCAGCTATGTGACCTTGGCTAAGCTATTTACCTTTTCTGAGTGTTGGTTATCTTACTATAAAATGGGAATGATCCCACCTAATAAGGTTGCTATAATAATTGAACAAAATGATGCCTAGTACCTGGTAAGCACTTAATTAAGGAGAGTGGCTGTTATTTTTCTCATTCACAGCCAAGTGCTGAGAGCAGAGTTTGATGCCAAGGAGTGGGTTTTCTGCTGGCTCTGGTGAGAGGTTCATAGTTTTCTTGAATTTTGGGAAAGTCCATAGAGGGGGCCTCTTTGATCCCACTTTTAAGAAGGTCTGCACAAGGTAATCTTGTTTCAGGTCTGTCAGGAAGTATCTCCCTATGAACCAGAGGAATTTATCAAGCTCCTTGTGTCTTTTCACCGCACAGACATTCCACCCTCATAGAACTTACCCCTAAGTGGGAAGATAAGATCACTACACAATGGAAAAACAAGAAATAAGGCATAACCATTTGGGGCATAACCCCAATTTTGTGACCCAGAGAGTAAGAGCTGGAAAGGTTCAGGGAGGGAAGGCATGTCCCTGAGCCGACAATACGCTGACCAGCTGTCCTGCTAAAGCCTTCTGTCCCCAGCAAACTGGGATT